TTATGCAGCCCGTAGTGTTACACACTACCGCGAACCTTTAACATTAGGTCCTATTGTTAGAGGCTCGTTCTAAGTTAGTAACTATTCCTGGACCAGTTACTAACTTAGCAGCTCGATAGAATCGTATAGGTATCGGCACATCGTTATATGTGAACCCATCTCCAGGTCTGGATACAGTTGTTTCTCAACAAGGTATTGGTTCCCTCCAACTTCCACTGCTTTCTGGAGCTCCCCCTCCACCACCAGAAGGCAATACGACAACTGATGGGTCGAACACGTAGGCCTCTACAAGGTGAAATAATGGAGTTCATCATCACTGAGCGTTACTTGCCGTCTTATCGAACACTTCCCATGGAGAGTCATGACCTCCAGTGAAGGAGGGATCTGTGGTTATTGGTGACACCCTCCCAGCACAGCGTGCGTATGCTGGGGCATGCCTGATTACGGGGGAGATATACCTAGTGATTCGAGTGATCACGATATTCCAAGATGATGGTGCATTATCGTTGTCCCAATCCCCCGTAGCACACAATGTGTCTTCATCGGGTGGCGGAACCCCTCAGCAAAGCTTATGATGAGGATAGTCTATATCGATTAAGTATAAACAGGCTGCTGCCTTGCAAGGCAGCATTCACCTGCTATTCAGTGTGGTGTTATCTCATTGGGCAAATCACTAACAATATATACAGTACTGTCGTGATTATGCTGAACATGATCATAATGTGCCGAGATTGGGCAGACAGGTTGGGGAACGAACTGATGAAACTAGTCCAGCCTGCCGTGGCTTGCAGCGGAAACCACATACTGCAATGACTTTCACTCGGTGAGTTTGCCCATGGGATCAATGAAGTATTAGTATGCATATCCGTTCAGTACGCCCTGACCCTCACCAGTAAACGGTTTCTTCCGAATAATACAGCCACATGTACATTGCCTGCATATTTCTCATATCCTCACTGCTTCCGTCAATCGAACGCCCAGTCATCGCCCAGTCATCAACCTGGACTTCGACATATTACGCATGCTCCACACCACACAGTGCGGGGATACAATAATAACATGGTCAATCACATGGGTTGGTGAGTCATCAATGGTGACAATATAAAAATTCTTGGGGAATTCTTGTTGGTCTCTACATTTCTACCCGAACTCATATGTGAGTCCTAAGTCATATGTAAACATATATTCCTCCAACACAGCACCCACAACACTTCTGTCGTCCCCGGAAGCCGTCCTCGCGTTCTGTCCAGCTGCTCTGTATCATCTGACCATACATAATCCAACATCTGTCCATCCCTATGGCTCAGATCTTGGGGTTGCTGTGAGTACGGTATTTCAGAATCAATTCGCCTCATGAGATCATGAACTTGCTTTACGATTCGTAAATTACGAATCTCGGCGAGAATCAACGAGTTCTCTAACTATGAAGCAATAGCAAACGATGGGTGCCTATTAACTCGCTCGACATCGTTCCGCAATGCGGAATCCGCATCTTTCGAATGATCTCCCGAGCTCCTTGCGTCCGACAGATAAGCTCATCTCGTTTCTCTTGCATCTTCACATACACTGGTCGCCCATCGTAGTCTTCGTCCAGACGTCCATATATCCCTGCAACGATAGAATCTTCGCTGTGCGAGATTTCACTCTCCTACCATTGACTCTCTGATTAGACCCTTCCCTGCCTGTTATGATGACCATACTATACATGCAGAATCCTCCAGCACTATTTCGCTTTCCCCGACTAGCAATGCCTGAAGGACAGTCTCTTCTTAATCAGCCGCAAGCAGGGACTTGATAGATCTTCCGTGCCCCTCATTAACCGCATGCTTAAGCGTGATGAGGACTTCTTTATATCAATAGTGTCCATCAGGAAGGGGCTTAACGGTGCCTTTAGAGCAGTTGGCTCAAAAGGCTGAGGTAAAGTAACGTTACATGTTCTCCATTATCATCATCATCATCGAATTTCAGTTTGGATATTGTCGACTACACCTTCGTTAGCCGATGTGAATTCACTGTCGACATCAGTTCGCATCTTCCTGGTTCCCATCAAAATTCTATGGGAGGGAGTTGCCACAAACCACTTTCCATAATCGGAAACGGTCGCATGGTAGTGGTGTTGGTCATAAGGCAATCACTCGAGGGAGTCGCCACACACCACCTTCCTTGATGGGAAACGGTCGTATGGTAGTAGTAGTAGTGTCGGCCATGAGGCCATCAGGAGAGGGAGTTGCAACACACCACCTTCCATAATCGGAAACGGTCGCATGGTAGTAGGGTTGGTCATAAGGCAATCACTCGAGAGAGTCGCCACAAGCCACCTTCCTTGATCGGAAACGGTCGCATGGTAGTAGGGTTGGTCATAAGGCAATCACTTGAGAGGGTCGCCACACACCACCTTCCTTAATGGGAAACGGTCGTATGGTATTAGTAGTGGCGGCCATAAGGGCATCAGTCGAGAGAGTTGCCACACACCACCTTCCTTGATGAGAAATGGCCGTATGGTAGTAGCAGTGTTAGTCATAAGGCCGTCACTCGAGGGACTTCCTCGGAGGGAGTCGCCACAAACCACCTTCCATGATCGGAAACCGTCATATGGTAGTAGTAGTGTTCGACTCGAACAATGTTCGAGCCTAGTAGCTCCGGTCGCGGTGGTTCCTATGGTTCCACAGTCTATCGTGTGTATGGCAAAGTCGGCCGGACCACTCTGCAACTTGTTCTTGCGGGTCCGTATCAGGGTCCTATTAATAAGTCTGACATCTTAGAATGTCATTATTTGAATACCCGTCCATCCGGGGGGCATGTCGAGTAGGATTGTCGGTGCACAGCTTTGTGCGGTCAGAGTAGAACAATGAATATACGTGCAGTATGACAGGTGATTAGCCTCACCCGAGCCTTATTCGTCTCATGAGATTTACTTGTTTGTACGCTAGTATCCTTTGATTTCCCTTGAGACCATAATGGCATCTAGCAGTCAATTAGCCGATGGGGCACGCTCTGGGGCGGG